TTGTTCTTCTGTGTGGTCTCAGGAGATTTGCAAATGTTGAGCCTCATCTGCTCTCAGAGGTAGTTGATTCAGGAGCCATTCTCTCAGGTGGCAACTATTAAAGTAGGGGCGCTCTATTCATGGTCCCCAAACTTCACTCTTCAGGAGGCAGTCAGGAGTTGGGGATTCCCTCTTGACGATGCAGCACTATTTCCAGGCTGTTTTTTTGCATGACTCAATTTTCCCTACCGGTTTCCATGTAGATGTTTTCTCAGTGGCAGCATTTAGAAAACTTTTAACAAATTTCTGGATCTTTCTCCAAAGGAATTGGCCTATGTATAGTTGTTCATTTGATATAGGAGTGTTGAAAGTTGGAACCTTCCTATTTTGCTGTTACTTGACTAAATACTTATTTAAAGAACGACTTTGTTTATTTTCCACATACTTGTAGATTTTCCAGTTTCTTTCTGCTTTTGTTTCTGGTCTCCATTCCACTGGGCTTGGAAAAGGTTCTTCATATGATTTTAACTTTATTGAATTTGTTGTGACTTTTGTGTCCTAATTTGTGATCTATTGTGAAGAATTTTTTTTTTTAATGTGGGTTTGAGAAGGATACATATTCACCTATTGGTGATGGTTCTCTATGTCTGTCAGGTTCAGATGGTCTGTGGTGTTGCGTTCTCTGTTTTTTTGTTGATGTTTTTATTTCATGGTTCTATCCATTATTGAAAGTGCAGCATTGAAGTTTCCTGCATTATTGTGTGGCTATTTCTCCTTTCAATTCTGTCACCATTTGCTTTTTACATACGTGAGCTTTGATGTTAGCTACATACATATTTATAAATGTTGTATCTTCCTGGTGAATCAACACTTTATTCATTGTGTCATGTCTTTTTTTTTGTCTTTTTATAGCAGTTTTTGACTAACACTCTATTTTGTCTGATATAAGTATTGCTATGTTCTTTTTTAGTTCCAATTTGCATAAAATATCTCTTCCCCGCCTTTCACTTTCAGCCTAAATTAAATCTATTGTAAATAGTATGAAGTTA